TAATGGGCGTGTAGGGGAAGGGAACAGAGGTGATGAGGAAGTGATGGGCAGGTTTGGCGTTAGGGATAGAAATTCGGAAGGACAGGCAGTGGTAGATTTTGCAAAGAGAATGGAAATGGAAAAGGTCCACACAGATAGATTATATTCTATGTAGAAGAGGTAATCTGAGGAAGATTATTGACTGTAAGGTGGTGGCAGGTGAGTGTAGCCAAACAACATTGCATGGTAGTGTGCAAAATGACGATAGTGAAGTGAAAAAATGAAATAGAGTGAAGACAGAGCAGAAGATCAAGTGGTGGAAATTAAGGATAGAGAAATCTTGTGAAGACTTCAGGAAGGAAGTAGTGGCAATTCTGGGCCGTGTTGAGAAATTCCTAGATGATTGGGATATTACAGCTGCAGTGATTAGGGAGACAGGTAGGAAGGTTCTAGGTATGTCCTCTGGGCAGAGAAATGAGGCCAAAGAGACCTGGTGGTGGAATGATGAGGTCCGGCAGAGCGTGCAGAGAAAGAGATTAGCGAAGAAGAGATGGGACAGTGACAGAACAGAAGAGAACAGACTGTAGTACGAAGAGAGGACAAGGGAGGTGCAGAGAGTAAGTGGCCAAGGCCAAACAAAAGGCATATGAGGAGTTGTATGAGAGTTTGGACACAAAGGAAGGAAAAAAGGAGTTGGATAGATTGGCGAGACAGAGAAATCAAGCTGGGAAGGATGTGCAGCAGGTGAGGTTGATTAAGGACAGAGATGGGAATGTAATTACAAGTGAGGAAAGTGTGCTGTGAAGATGGTAGGAATACTTTTAGGAGTTGTTGAATGAAGAAAATGAAAGGGAACTTAGGAATGAGGAACCAGAAACTATTAGGAAGAAGGTAGATCATTTAAAAAGGACGATGAAGAGATGAAGAAATGAAGAAGATGAAGAGTGGAAAGTCAGTTGGTCCCGATGACATACCAGTGGAAGTATGGATGTGCTTAGGAGAAGTGGGGTGGATTTCCTGACTAGGTTGTTTAACATAATTTTAGAGACAGACAAGATGCCTGATGAGTGGAGGAAAAGTGTTCTGGTGCCAATGCATGAGAAGGGTAGAGTTGTAACAACTACAGAGGGATAAAGTTGATGGGCCATACAATGAAGATTTGGGAAGAGTAGTTGAAGCTAGGTTGAGGCAGGAAGTGGAGATTTATGGTTTCAGTATGGTTTCATGTCAAGGAAGAGTACCACAGATGCAATATTTGCCTTGAGAAGAAGTCAGGAGTGGCAGAGAAGTAAGTTATTTTGGTGCAGGACATGTATGAGAATAGTGCAACAGTGCTGAGGTGTGCTGTTGGAAGGACAGATGACTTCAAGGTGGACGTGGGATTAAATCAAGGATCAGGACAGGAGTCCACATGGACTATGTTGTTTGCAGATGACATTGTGATCTGTAGTAAGAATAGGCAGCAGCTAGAAGAGAACCTAGAGAGGTGGAGGTTTGCACTAGAAAGAAGAGGAATGAAGGTCAGTCCCAGCAAGACAGGGTACGTCTGTTAATGAAAGGCTGAACAGTGAAATAGTGAGGTTACAGGGAGCAGAGGTGGTAAAGGTGCAGGAGTTTAAGTACTTCAACTGATCAACTGTTCAGAGCAGAGGAGACGGTGAAAGAGAGGTGAAGAATAGAGTACAGGCAGGATAGAGCAGCTGGAGAAAAGTGTCAGGAGTAATCTGTGATAGAAGAGTGTCAGCTAAGGTGAAGGGAAGGTTTACAGGACGGTGGTGAGACCAGCCATGATGTATGGTTTAGAGACAGTAGCAATAGGCAGAAGAAGGACAGAGGTGGAGCTGGAGGTGGCAGAGTTAAAGATGCTAAGATTCTCTTTAGGAGTGACAAGAATGGACAGGATCAGGAATGAGGTCATTAGAGGAACAACACAGACAGGAAGGTTTGGAGAAAAAGCTAGAGAAGCCAGATTGAGATGGTTTGGACACATGCAGAGGAGGGACAGTGGTTACATTGGTAGGTGAATGTTAGAGATGGAGCTACCAGGTAGGAGACAAAGAGGAAGCCCAAAGAGGAAATATATGGATGCAGTGAGGGAGGACATGCATATAGTTGGAGCCAGAGTAGAAGATGCAGGGAACAGGGTGATAGGGAAATCAATGATTCGCTGTGGCAATCCCTGAAAAAAGGGACAAAGCCGAAAGGAAAAGGAGAAGACAATATATTCTGGTCAATAAAGTAAATAATAGAAAAGGAATTTATTTAGAGGTACAGCTGATTTTGGTGTACAGAGAAAGTATGGTATTTTTCGGACCATAAGGCGCACCGCATTATAAGGCGCATTTAGCGAAACAAAACAAGCTCCCACGCTCGTAATTTAACTTAATACACCCTAATAAAACCAACATTTAGCGGTTGGAATTATTTGGTTAATCCACCCGGAATGATGGCAAGCTCCGTATTAGTTTGCTTCACTTGGGTTTTGACAATATCGGCGAGATGGGCGCGCATGGAGTTGCAGATTAATAGGGACGGAGATCTGTGGATGCTCACCGTATTGTTGTTTTGACGCTGTTCTGTGCGGAAGTGCGGATGTTGTTTTGCAGAGAGAGTGTGTCTATTTCCTGTATCGATAAAAAAAAAAGGAAAAATAAAAAGAGTTATTGACCACGAAAAAATCGACAGCCATGCGTCTGAGTCATCCTGCATCGCACCATACATCGACAATACAAAAACACAACGTAGAGTCTGTGGGTGATTGGAGGCACGACGCGATTTCGGTTAGACAAGCATACTGTAATAATTATTTTTGAGCATCTTCTGATTGTGATAACACATCATTGTTGGCTCCCAGTGTGCTTCAGTTGTGTACCATCATGTGTGATGCGTTTGTAGTAGTTTGGCTTTATAAAATTGGTTTGAGTTCAGTAAGCGCAACCAAAAGTAATACATAAGGCGCACCGGGTTATAAGGCGCACGCTTTTTGAGAAATTTAGAGACTTTTAAATGCGCCGTATAGTGCGGAAATACTGTAGATTTTAAAATGGTACCAGTGGAATGTCTAGTTAAGTACCAAAGAATGGCTGTGTATAGGTTGAAATTAATGGGTCAATTATATGAAAAAAATCATAATTATCTTTATTATAATCAGTATTAAAAATACAATTATTTAACACAATAACTCATTGGGGAAAATGGAGATTCAGAGAAGATTTTTTAAATATACAATACTACCTTGAGATACGAGTATTCTGCGATACGAGCAAGCCTTCGAGCAAATTTTGCTTTCAGATACTAGAAAGATTTGAGATTTGAGCATGCACATTTTATTTTATATCACAGGAATCTTTATATACTATAATTTATATCACAGGAATCTTCATATACTATAATTTATAATTTATAGAAATTATAAACATGTTTTTCCATTGTTTTTAGAACTAATGAGGGAGTTTTTTAGAGAGCTGGAACGGATACATTTGTTTTCTGTTATTTCTTATGGGAAAAAATGATTTGAGATACGAGCACCTTGAGTTACGAGCTTGGTCCTAGAACGGATTATGCTCATGCTCTCAAGGTTCCACTGTACTAAAATGGGGGTTGGTGTAAATGAGGCAGTGAGGAAGATGATTCGAAGTGGCAACTCTTAAAGAGGTATGGTCTCACCTCCTGGTCCATTCTCTCCCTCAACCCTCTCCTCTGTCTCTTAGTTTGTTTTTTATATTTATTGTGTTTCCTTGTTTGGTGTTTACTACTACTATATAAATATACAAGATTGACATAGAAACTCACCCAGTATAATACGAGACTAAGAAAAAGTGTCAAACGGGGAAAGTAATTCCCTTACTTGTAAAACAAGGGTAATTGATGATTACATGGTCTGTAAGGTGTGGAGATCTAAGAGAGAATGGGCTCATGTGCTAATAAGGTGTTGAGTCTGACAGTAATAATCGGGCAATCAATTTGCCAAAGAGTAACACAGATTCACATTTAATGTGCAGGAATTATTATAGAGGATGTATGTTTGAATGACCAGCCCCCTCCACAGCTCTACTGTGTGTTTCCATAATAGTGATGTGTCGTTCACGAGTGATTCGGACACATCTTATTTATATGACTCGTGACTCCCGAGTCATATAAAAGATTCATTCATATTGAACTCACGAATTATTCACGAATCACTCTCTGCGAACTAAGCACTCTCTGCAAACTAATCACTCACTGCGAACTAATCACTCTCTGCAAGTGAATCAGTCTCTGTGAATTAATCACTAATTGTCTCACTGCAAATTGTCTCACTAATTGTCAAATTTAGTTTTACATTCACTTGTCCTCTACCAGGATTTTTCATTTGTCAGACTGCACAGATTCGTTCTCTCAGATTTGTTCACAGATTCGCTCTCACAGATTTGTTCAAAGATTCGTTCAAAGATTCATTGTCACAGATTTGTTTTCGCAGATTTATTTTCACAGCGTCGTTCTCGTAGATTTGTTCAAAGCTTTATTCTCGCAGATTCATTTAATTTGTCACGTGACAGACAGCTCGGGTCTCTTTTGCTTTCATTAATCTAAGTCACTGTTACGCGGTTAAATAACAATGACAGGAAGGATGAAGGACACAAGTCACTGTAATGTGTTTTTCTTTCTTATGTTTTCACATGATTTGAATTGCTTATGGCATTTTGTGTACTTTGTAGACTTTGTCGGCGGAAGCAAACCATGGTAGACTTTGTCGTTAGTGTCGGAGAACCACAGCCTTCTTTACAACGCCCACAATTGGGCTAAAGCACCACCTGCTGTAAAATGAATGAAATGATTCGTTCATTTTACTGTTCGAGAGTTAAAGATCTGAATCAGTAAAAAGAGTCGGTCTTCCCATCACTATTCCATAATCTTATCTGTTTTATTTTGTTTGTTTTTTTTTTTTTTTTTTGTTTTTTTTTTTTTTGTTGTTGTATCAATCTGTCAAAAACTGTGTTCATTTAGAATATTATGACATGACCTAACTCACTAAAGAACTAATACTGTGTTGTTTTTGCAGGACTGGTTAAGTAGATATGGTTACCTTCCTCCTCCTGACCCACGTACTAGTAGACTGCAGACCAAGGAGGGCCTTGAGGAAGCCATAAGGACCATGCAGAGATTTGGAGGGATCAAGGAAACAGGGGTGCTCGGTAAATCCAATCATTAATTCACCTTTGACCAATTAATTCTTTGAGGAAGTGCTTAGTGGCTGTGTCTATCCAGCTATCAAAAAAGTGTTTAATCACAGAGGGTCTTTGAAGGAAAGTGAACTACTTGTCATTGTGACGCAACACACCACTGCACAGAACGAAATGTGACATCTGCTTTTAACCCATCACCACAGTGAACAGTGGGCAGCTTTAAGTGCCCGGGAAGCAGTGAGTTGGGACGATGTCATGCTCAGAGCACCTCAGTGGTAACTTGGCAGCTGGTGGACTCAAACCTGAAGCCTTCCAGACCCAAGTCTGCTTCCTTAACCACTAAACCACCACTGCCTCATATAAGTGAGCATTCACATCCCTACCTTTGAAGTGCTAACTGATTAACCTAACTCCAAATCTGCATGGACTGTGGAAAGCTGGAATATCTGGAAAAAATCCACATGCAATCCAGCACTTAGTGAAACACTGTTTGCGTAAATTATCCTAGAAGGCAAACATTTTCTAATTAGTGACCAGAAAATATGCGGTTCAGAAGACCTTCTATAAGATGAATTATAGATGAATGGGTTTTTTACAAGGCACTGATAAAAGAGTGCCTTGTTGCTGGGTCTACAATCACGCAGCATGACCCTGCAAAGGCAAGGTAGGACAGCTTCAGTGTTTACCCATGGAAGGGATCAAGGGGGTCAAGTTCAGTGTGCGCTGGATTGTGGCTATAGAATGGGACCTCGGCAGATCAATCTTTGGCTGGAGTTGGCTGGCTCTGTGCGAGGAATGTAAAAATAATGATTGATCCCTGGCTTTGTGCAAGTATGTTGAGGTTTGCCATGGGAGGGTAACCTCCCTGCCTCTTTGGGTGGAGCGACGTATCCTGACTGCTATTTTTTGTGGAAGCATGACTGGGAGGAACAGTCCCTCCTCCAACATTCTGAATACAATTTCTGCTTGATTATAGGATTCCTGTGGACTTGGTGAGAAGGCTTTTACTGTGTTTGCCAGTTTTCTTGAGGGTTTGGTGCTGTGTGAGTTTTAGGTTTCGTACCCTCTGATAATTCTCTGAGATAATGGCCACTGACTGCCTGATAACAGTCAGATTCAAGATGGTGCTGATGGCAACAGCCTTCTGGTCGCTTTGCAGCACTAACTCTTTTTTCTACTTTCACTCTTACTTTCTATGCTTTTTTATTTCACTCTTTTATTATTATTAAATGTAACCTATGGATGTCCATAATCCTAAAATGGCAACCAGAGCCAGTTATCTTGTTTATTCAAAGGACAAGCTGCTGGCTCTGAGGACAAGTAAAATTGGACTTCGACGTGACATACCGGCAGAGCTCAAGAGGAGGTACCGAGAATGCAGAGCCAACGCTAAAATAAAAGTGAAGATATTCCATCAATTCCCTCTGTTATCATGGGCAACGTAAACTCTCTTTCTAACAAGATGGACGAGCTGTCCACGCTGTACAACCAGCAGATATACTGGGAGTGCAGGCTGTTCATTTTGGAGACTTGGCTTACTGACAGCGTAACAGATTTAAATGTGGATCTGCGAAGATTTACAGCAGTGAGAGCTAAGTTTCTCTTCCATAGTATAGTGGTTAGTGTCAGTTCCATAGTGTAGTGGTTAGCACGCCTGCCTCGGAAGCACAGAGTTAGTATATCTGCTATTAACACAATAATCTTCCAAATATGGGATCATATAGTTCATTTTTTTGTTTTTTAAAGGCATGCAGGAAAAGCAAAACTGGCGGATTCATCATGTATGTTAACAACTGTTGGTGTAATCCCGGATATGTCTCTGTTACGAAAGTTTTATGGTGCCCAGACTTGGAGATACTAGCTGTTTGCCTCTGCCCATGTTACCTACTAAGGGAGTTCAGTCATGTGATCTCTTTTGTGTTTATCCTCCGAGAGCTGTCACAGCCACTGCCTACGAGAAACTTCACACTGTCACAGCAGGGCTGCGGCCATAACATCCTGAGGCTTTCTTCTTGATTTCTGTTGACTTTAATCACGCCACTCTGGACTCTACACTAGGTGACTTTCAACACACAAGGAGCAACTGGACAATTGACCTTCAATATGTTAAAGCTAAAGAAGCATACAGAGTCACCTCCCTGCCCCCTTTCTGCAAGTATGATGATAACCTGTTTTACTTCCAGCCACAGTACACCCCTTTGGTCCAAAGGCAGCCAATCATTAAATCATCAATCAATCATCTAATAACCTACAACAGTTCACTTTCAGAGCAGAGGTCGGTATAGAGGATGCCATCATCTACCTCCTACAGTGAGGGAGAGGATGTTAATGTGGACCACACACAAATACTACTACTTATCTATTTATTCTTTTTATTTACACACAAATACTACTACTTATCTATTTACAACTACTAAACTACTAATCTACTAGCATCCACTGTTAAGGTTTGGCTGATTGTGGGTCTTCTTTTAGCTGAAGATGTGGGTCTGTTTGCTTTATTGGCTGCAGAGGGAAAGGGGGGGCAGAAGTGGATGGAAGTCTGCAGCAGGCACTGGCTCACCAATGAGGCATCTGCTGCAGGCACTTGATCCACCTGAAGGGGTGTCTGCTGCAGGTGCTGGAGCCAATGAAAAGTGCAGCAGATCCTAGAACTGCTACAAACCACTGTGGAGCAAACAGCAGCCTGGTCAGGACAAAGATACAAGTGGCCATAGGTACCAGACAGGAGGAGAGTTGCTCCACTGAATCCACATAAACCATCCCAGAAAATACTGAAGAATTCGGTGGCACCAAGGAAAAAGCTCCAGCAGGCAGTTGCACAGCTGGAATGAATTCTGCCTGATATCACCTGGGCCAAACAGGCTTTATTAAACAGCGACAAACTCAAGATAACATTAGACGTATTACATGTGATACACCAGATAACCCAGAAACAAACTGAAGCAATCTTTTTGGGCGTGAACCCTGAAAAAGCGTTTGTAAGTTGGACTTTTTTTATACAGCATTTAATTTCATTTCACAAAATTTCAATTTCATAGAACATTTGTAAGGACAATCCAGAGTCCGTAATTTCCGGACTATAAGCCGCTACTTTTTTCACACGCTTTGAACCCTGCGGCTTAAACAATGATGCTGCTAATTTATTATTTTAATGGCACTCCGGGTTAAGGGGGAGGCTTGGATGACTAGCAGCGCAAAATCATTTACCAAAACTGGCCACATGCAAAGAGAAACTTTTGCTCAAGTCTGCAAGTGGATCCTGACAGCGTGGCCCAGAGTAAAAAACTCCACTATCAGCAACGGGTTTCGAAAGGTTGGACTGCTGCGAGATGAAGACGACAACACAAGCTCAAAAACATGATATTGAGAGCGACAACAAAGGAGAGAATGGAAAAGTGTGTGACGGAGCAATTCTGACTTCAGTGGTTTTAGTGCATAGGAGGAAGATGAAGATAGCGATCATTTACTTTTCTAGTAGGCTCTGTGTGTTATACTAGTAGCGTATGTCTGTCTGTCTGTGAATGGCTGTGTGCGTATGTGTGTGAGACCCGCACCCCTCCAGGTTGGGGAGGAGATCTTGCCTCAGGTGGAGGAGTTAAAGTATCTTGGGGTCTTGTTCACGAGTGACGGAAGGATGGAACGAGAGATTGACAGGCAGTTTGGTGCAGAGGCTGCAGTAATGTGGTCGCTGTATCGGTCCGTTGTGGTGAAGAAGGAGCTGAGGCGAAAGGCGAAGCTCTCGATTTACTGGTCAATATACGTTCCTTCCCTCACCTATGGTCATGAGCTTTGGGTCATGACTGAAAGAACAAGATCCCGGATACGAGCGGCCTCAGGAGGTGCTCGAGTCCTGTCCCTCTGGGAGGAGACCTAGGGGAAGACCCAGGACACTCTGGAGGGTCTATGTTGCTCGGCTGGCCTGGGAGCTCCTTGGTGTCCCCCCAGAAGAGCTGGAGGAAGTGTCTGGAGAGAGGGAAGTCTGGGTCTCCCTGCTCAGACTGTTACCCCACGACCCGGCCCCGGACAAACGGATGATGATGGATGGATGGATGGTTGCTAACTCAAAGTACACCTACAGTAATAGACCGGTTCAATGTGATGCATGAAATGTAATGTAATGGAAAAACTTACATTTGCTCTAAGACTCAAGAGGGATCTATTTGAAAAATGCTGGAAAGGATGCATTGATTTCATTAGTCCACATAGCTCAGACTTCAAGCTATAATGGAACATCATTTGCAATGTAACCTCCCATGTGCTCTTTCTTTCTTTCTTTTTTCTTTCTTTCTTTCTCTATTTAACCACCTTATACTGTGTCAATTGTTAAAGAACTTGTACAGAATATAACTACCTGTATATGTTGACTTTAAACTCAAAAAGACAATCAAAAAAAGAAGAAAGTGAGCTTCCTTAACAACCAAGCCTCCACCATGTCTTGGACAAAGGGCTGTAGACACTAGATTGGGATATACTGTAGCTAATATATGCTCCTATTCTTTTTCAGACAGCAAGACAATCAAATTAATGTCCACACCAAGATGCTCTTTACCTGATATTGTGGGCGGAGAGGATATGCTTAAAAGGAAAAGGAGAAGGAGGAAACGATATGCTTTGTCAGGCTTGAAGTGGCACAAGACAGAACTTACATGGAGGTATGTTTTCTGTGTTGTCTCTTCTTTCTTTTCTTATTGGTAGAAATGATCATGATGATAACATCACACCCATTTTAATTATATATTATAGATTTAACATGAATGCTCATTCACAGGGCAACAAAGTGCAGAAAAAAAAGCAGACCTTTTGACGTTTGAGTCAAACTACACATTGTATACAAATTGACCCTGTTTGACAAATGCACTTTGGTCCATTGTTTATTTTATCTTATGCACTGTGTTGGCTTTTTTTAGTGATCATTACAGCAATTTATGCTCTTACAGAGAATTTAAAAATGTACTTATTGGTAGATCCGTATACAGCTTGGATATACGTATATATTAGAATTAATATTTGTAAAAAATGGTATATGTTTACAGGAATGTGGATATTTTACTGTAAATATGTTACTGTAAATCAAGCTAGATTGGACAATATCTAGTCACCTTGAGCACCAATTCACTGCTCTGTTTTATTTGTCTTGCAGTATTTTTAGCATACTACTGTCAATAATTATTAATTCTATAGATTAACTTATTTAAACAAAAGAAAATCCAAAACATGTTACTTTACTGCCTTTGTTGCAATAGCATAAATGTGTGGGGATTCCATCAAGTAATTCTGATTCTGACAGTGTAGGGCATCATCAAAATGTTGACCACATCATTTCTGTCCTTCATGCATCAAACTGCAAATCATGTTTGTGAAACTTACAAGTGTGCTGTGATACATGTGGTTTTGCCTACAGTGTCCACAGCTACCCCTCCATCTCTCCAGGCCTTGATCATGATCTGGTGGACAGTATCTTGTCTCACGCCTTCAAAATGTGGAGTAATGCAGCACCCCTAAGTTTCTATCGGCAGGTTGCTGACAGTGAAGGCAATTTTTCTGAAGGCGACATCAGGATCTCCTTTGCTAGTTTGCTGCATGACGATGGATACCCGTTTGATGGGCAGGGTGGCACGCTGGCCCATGCCTTTTTCCCAGGCAAGGATGTAGTAGCTGGGGACACACACTTTGATGACCATGAGATCTGGAGCTATGGAGGTTTGTGTTAACCCAATATATAAGGTTTTACTACCAAACACTATTGCCTGAATCAACCTGATCAAGGTAGCTTTTGCGAGGAATGATTATTATACTAGTGCTAAGTCCTCATTGCAAAAAGTTTGGGCACACCGGTGTAATTTAAAATAACAAACTATACATAACATAAACTATGCATTCATAATCAGAAATACCTCAAACTTCTTAAATCATCAGGAGACAGCAGCAACACGGACTTGTTCACAGTTGCAGTGCATGAGTTTGGCCATGCTTTGGGTCTGTCCCATTCCTCCACTTATCCTTCCATCATGATACCGTACTACCAGGGTGCTGTTGAGGACATTCCAAACTTCCAGCTGAGCTTGGACGACAAACTTGCAATCCAACAGCTCTATGGTTAGTGAAGTTTATCTTTTATTTCAATTGCGATGTGTCTTTTGAAAAGAAAGTGCTCTTGTTTGCGCCAAGAGAAACGCTATGAAATTACAAGACTACTTCAAACTAAGTCTAAGTCACACTAATAATATAGATTTTAGGGTTGCATGATAACAAAAAAAAAGATAAGATAACTGCTAACATACCTGGTAACGTATCTGAGATAAAAAAAAGACAAATGAGCAAATGTGGACCAAAGATGACATCAATAGTATAAACAAAACCCAAATCAGTTTTGATTTTTTGTTGATTTTTATAGTATAAACAAAACCCAAATCAGTTTTGAGTTTTTGAATTGGTGTAAAACATATAGCCCGGTAGGGGCTTCAATCCGGCCCACTTGATGAATTCTGAAAGTAAATAAATGCACAAATGCACATTTAATATATATATATATATATATATATATATTTTAATATAGTTTCAGTTTAGTTTTGCATGAAAAACGGGGGAAAACATGGGATTATTTATAGGTAATTATGTTATACTTGTACTGGTTTGGTCCACTTCACATCTAATCATGCGTATGTGGAGCCTGAATCAAAATTAGTTTAACATCCCTGCTTTTTGTTTGATAAACTATTTGATATTTCAGATAAATGTCTACTGACATAGGTTTTTATTTGATATAATCTTTTGGGATGTTAGTGTAACAAAGGAGAAATGCAGGCTTATTTGCTCCACCCCCGAAACTAATACAGTGGGGCTTCGAGATATGAGCTATCCGAAATATGTGTTTTCCAAGTTACCAATAAGCGACTATTGCAAGGTTTTCCTTGTGATACGAGGAAACATCGAGTTACGAGTGCTCAACCAAGCTCTATTTTTCCACTCGACACTATCGCGTTGTCTTGCTCACTGTCACTGTCACTCACTTGCTTGGTCTTACCTGTCACTTTATCCCTAAATCAAGTCCTCACTTCCAGTCCTTCTCCTACGCTTAGTGGCCCAACACTCTGACACGCTGTTGTGCTCACTGTTCCTTGCTCGGTTATTCTACCCATTTTTAAAACAATAATATAAAATGGTTTCTTAATTATTATTATTTTATATTATCAATACATTTGTTTATATCTATATTTTTGATGTTTAGATGGGGGGTTAAGTTAATTAATAATAGTATATAAGTATAATTCTGGGGGGCTGGAACAAATTAATTGTTTTTTTTTTTAATGCAATAAATGCAATCTAGATACGAGCGGATCGACATACGAGTGCTATTGTGGAATGGATTAAACTTGTGTCTTGAAGCCCCACTATACAGTCATGCTGAGACTGATCGGCAACGTATATGTAGAGTACAGCCGATCACTTTACCGTAACAGAGGGAAAAAGGGCACGATCAAATTACAACACTTAAATTTCAAACAGGACTGTGGATGTCCCCACACTTAAATGAAGATGCTCCTATTTTCACGTGGAGTTACCAGGCGTAGGACATGGTAAGAGAGACAGTTGGCGCCTGACCTTGAGGCCGACTACAAGAAGGCAGGTTATATGTGGGGGCAGTTGGAACACCTGGAATAGGACCGGAGTGCTTGGAGGACTTTCCTTGGCGGCCTCTGCCCAAACTGGGGTGATAGTCGATAGAGTAAAAGAGGACATAGTTAAACTTAAACTTATGATGGTTGGGGTAAAAGAAGAGGCAGAGGATAGGGTGAGATGGAGGCACATGATCCACTGTGGTGACACCTGAAGGGAACAGGTGGAAAAAAGAAGAAGATATTTAGGTCTCGATACAGTTTGTTACTTTCTGAACATATTTTTTATCATTTATAGTTGGTATCCACCATAACATTAAAACCTGCAATGAAGCAACTAACAAGTTCCCTGAATACGGAGGAATATATTGATTTTACTTTAAAAAATTAGTGTGTAATTAACCCCCCCCCCGGAAATAAATGTAAATAAAAAGTAAAATGACTGTAAAAGTGTAAAATGACTGTAATACTGATCACACTTCTTCCCTTATTCTGTCACTCGTTTGCTGTAGGTGTGAAGCAAAGTAAACAGCCCGATGTTTTGAATCCTAAACTTCCCCGATTCCCAAGTCCTTCTCCTCCGAAGCCAACTCAGCTGTGAGTTACTACCCAACTGTCATATAGTGACTACACTGACACATTACATTGAGCTTTTTTAAGTTGTTTAACCCAACATTCCCTGTGTAGGTCTGAGCCCTCCTTCCCGCAGCGCTGTCAGGGAAGTTTTGATGCAGTGGCAAATATAAGAGGCGAGGTTTTCTTCTTTAAAGGTAAAGACTTATTGACATGCTGTCCCTCGGTCAGAATTATTAACTAGCATGCAACAAAGTCCCCAAGTCTGCAGGTCATTTGGTACCAGGCTACAATAGGACACAGCAAAAAAATGTACTTACATTTTACTAATTTACTTAATTCTATTATTTCAAACTAATATGTAATTTAGACTTTGATACTAATAGAATAAATTCAAAAATATGTTTTATTTTGAAAATATAAATACAAATAATAATCCTCTAACGATCTGTGCACGTTAGCTGCAACATGAAAACGTTAGCTGCCTTACCTTAAACACTTATTTCAGAAAACAGGAAGCCCCCTGTGATTTGGATATATTGTCATAGTTAATGGACAGGAGTCCCCATGGACTATGTTGTTTGCAGATGACATTGTGATCTGTAGTGAGAGTAGGCAGCAGCTGGAAGAGAACCTAGAGAGGTGGAGGTTTGCACTAGAAAGAAAAGGAATGAAGGTCAGTCGCAGCAAGACAGAGTACATGTGTGTAAACGAAAGGGAGAACAGTGAAATAGTGAGGTTACAAGGAGCAGAGGTGGTGAAGGTGCAGGAGTTTAGGTACTTAGGATCAACTGTTTAGAGCAGCGGAGACTGTGGAAGAGAGGTGAAGAATAGAGTACAGGCAGGATGGAACAGCTGGAGAAAAGTGTCAGGAGTCATCTGTGACAGAAGAGTGTCAGCTAAGGTGAAGGGAAAGGTTTACAGGGTGGTGGAGAGACCAGCCATGATGTATGGTTTAGAGACGATAGCAATAGGCAGAAGACAGGAGGCAGAGCTGGAGGTGGCAGAGGTAAAGATGCTAAGATTCTCTTTAGGAGTGACAAGAATGGACAGGATCAGGAATGAGGTCATTAGAGGGACAACACAGACAGGAAGGTTTGGAGAAAAAGCTAGAGAAGCCAGATTGAGATGGTTTGGACATGTGCAGAGGAGGGACAGTGGATTCATTGGTAGAAGAATGTTGGAGATGGAGCTACCAGGTAGGAGAAAGAGAGGAAGGCCAAAGAGGAGATATATGGATGCAGTGAGGGAGGACATGCAGATAGTTGGAGTCAGAGTAGAAGATACAAAGAACAGGGAGAGATGGAAATCAATGATTCACACTGGCAACCCCTGAAAAAAGGGACAAAGCCAAAAGGAAAATAAGAAGAAGAAGTCATAGTTAAAGGACAGGCAGCAAAGTATATATTTAATAAATTATAAAAATTATTCATTCTTGGTAACCCAAAACTCTATCACTCCCTGTGAAAGGTGAAAATTTCTGGAGAACTCAGAGAAGTGGCTCTTTAATGTCCCTTAAGCCAGCTCTGATCAAGAACTTTTGGATTGGACTCCCCCCCGGAATACATAAGGTTGACGCAGTGTATGAGAGGAAGAGTGACAACAGCATCGTCTTCTTCATTGGTAAGAAATGATTGTGAGAGTATATCTACAAACTTATTGGAATAGACCAAAGCAGCAGGATATTTCATAAACAGAAAAAGAGTGCATGAAATGGTAACATTGGTTTTGACTTATAGTGTCACATCCTCATTACTGAAAATTATTTAACAGAAATAAATTGAATGTTTAAACCAAAAAGTGCAAACACCATTTAAAACAATTTTCTCATTCCTTATCTTTGCTCATTTCAGGGTCAAAGTACTGGGTTTTCAAGGACACAGTTGCCATGGATGATTACCCTCGTCCTCTTTCTGACTGGAGCATGAAAAGAAAGAGCGGTGCACCAGTGGACAGGGTAGACGCAGCCTTTACCTGGGCCCATAATGGCAAGACCTATTTGTTCAGTGAAGGGGAGTTCTGGAGGTTTGATGAAAGCCAAAATGGGGGAAAGACATCCAAGAAACCAGATACAGGCTACCCACGAGACAACAGTCTCTGGGCAGGGGTGCCCTCTGATATGGATGACGTCATAAGCTGGGGAGAAGGTACAA